TTGTAGGCCTTCTCTGGACACTCTCCAGCTTGTCCACATATGGTTTTGAGTAGCAGGGGCCACAACTGAACACAGCATTCCAGGTGTGGACTGACAAGAGCTGAGTGGGGTACTGACTTCTTTATCTCTGTTGGTGCTGCCCTTGTTGAGGCAGAAGAAGCAGCTCCTTCGCTTGAAGTATTACTGACCCACTCCTGGAGAAAAAGGAGCCAGATTAGTCCAACGAGCTGCAAACAGTTAAAAATAATCCCTCTAAAGCTTCCTGGAAATAGTATGAATTGCTGTTTCAGCCTCTTCAGTTGTTTCCTGCGTCTGCAAAAGCTTGGTGTCGGCAGAAACAACTGGAGAAGGTGGTCTGTCTGTAATAACTTTCATTTTCTTCCCCTTAAGCTGTGCCAGGAAGAAGAGCCTACTGTGAAAATATGTCTCTAAAATTAAAACTAATTTCTCAGGAGCCTCCCTACTTACTTTCTTTAATTTTAAAAGCTGGTTTATCTTGCATTAACAGAGGCTTGAAAAACATGTTATTTACAGGCAGGCATAAAGTATTTGTAACACAAACAGATGACAACAGGACTGCACACTGCTCCCGGCCACTCCTCCAACCAGAGGGACTCCATCCAGCCCCCAAACAAAGCACAGCAGGGCAGAAGTCACAACTTGAAGTAGGGCTTGTGCCATATGGCATCTGACCGCATCCCACAGCCTCCTACCAGCACTCACTTGGCAGAGGGTGCCAAGCAGGTGCCCATGGACCCTGGCATTACAGCCACGGGGCTCTGCCAGTGCCTGACCTCCCTCACCTGGTTGAGTTAAGCCCGTGGACTTCACAGTCATGGTGGATGATGGCAGCTGCCAGCATGTTCCCTGTGAGGCAACTTCTGTTGCTGCGAGTTGGTTTGGACAGCCTCAAATTTTGTGTTGGCTGGGGAGAGGAAGACAAGAAAGCACCCACAGAAGACAGCAGTGCTGGTGTCTCATGGACAACAAAAAATGCCATGTCAGTGGGTAAAGTGGGTAAAATGGCTAAAATGCTTAAAGGTAGCATGAGCACCAGTTTGGAAAGCCGAAGTGTCAGCTATGAGCATCTCTGAGCCCGTGAGTGATGCCGGGCCCAGAAAGGCTCACCAAAGCCTGGGTTTGGTTACTTCATATTGTTTCACAATGTACTTACTGTCTGCGCTGTCCTCTAGATGTCAGTGACAGACAGCATATCCCAGCCCCTGCTTCCACCCACACCTCCTCGTGGCTGGGCCAAGCTCTTCCCTCCTTTTCTTTCCCTGGCTTCATTGTCTCTGATACAGGACTGACCTTTCGTGGCAGCACCAAAGGAGATGGTCCTCCAAAGCAAGCTGAGATGTAAATCTGTGACCTCATTTTTTGAAGAGGTGAGTCTCTAATTTTCCCCTGGGTTACCACTCCTTGGCAACACAGTTTGTCCTTCCGTGCTGTTGGACCAGACCATCCAGATCTCCATGATAACATGGGCATGCTTTCCCAGAGCAGGTTTGCTCTCCTCAGAGGTGAGCAGAGCAGGATTACTGTAGGCCCCTGTTCAGGATGGGGAATGCCATGCCAGTGTGTGCTAATGCTAATTTATATGAGGGTGAACTTATTATTAATGGAGTTGCTGGTAAAATAATTTTTCATCAGAGCCTTTCTCAATGAAAAATGAGGTGGGTGAAAGTTAAAAAAAAAAAAGAAAAGTCAACGTACCTACCTTCTTTGGGGCTTCTATCTTTTAAGAAGAACGTAGAAAATAATTTATTACATTGGCTTGTTTTCCATTTTTTTATTCTATAAGGGAAGTGGACAATGTTTTTCTAAACATCTCTAACGTAAACATCTTCAGTCAGCACAGTGTGAAGCCCATATTCACTAGACCTCACTCTCTAATGTCACCCTCTTTTCATCTCTCACCCTCCCAGTTCCCAGGATGTCAAAAAAGTCTTCAAGAAGGTACAACCATGATTTAGTCTATTGATGCCCTACAGTGTTAAGTGTCTAAGAGCATCTTTCATAAGGACACCATGAGAGTGATTTTTTGGGGCAAATCCAGTGATTTTGGTTTGACATGCAGAAAAGCCAGGCAGCAGCACCGGACTGGAGGTGAACAAGAGGCAGCAGCAAGAGGAGAGGGAAGGGGGAGATCCTGAGCCCTGTGCAGCACCAGCAGGCAGCATTCGACTGCTGAAAGGCAGGAGACAGATTGTGTACAATCTCGGGGAAAAATAGCCATTGTCCTTATCTTGCTCACCACAGCACACAAACAGGGCCATAACTGCAACAGGTCTCAGTCCTGTCATGTACAGGATTTTACACCAAAGTAACTGCTGTCTGCCAAGAAGAGTCATGTTCCTTGTTCGAATCAGTGGAGAATTAAGATCTGCCTTTACCAACATTTTTTAAAACATATGTCTACCTATTAAACTGAAATAAAATTTTAAAAGCTGATTGGCTACTCATGGTCTTTTCCAGATCTGTATTTCACTCCTGCAGCTGTTGTAAGTTCAAGGACCAGATCCCTGGCTATCGATTTTTCTGACTCCTTTGAATTAACTGAAGGTTAAAGTCTGTCATGAGAATGTTTAATTCATGTATTTAGCAAGTGCAGTTCTTTCATCTGCCCACACAATATGCCCAGGAAATACGCTAAATTGGAGCAATAACTCAGTCAGGGCTAAAATGGGAAACTGCTAAATGGTAACACTTCTGCCAAGAGACTGAAAGCAAATATCGGAATCATCTCTAATTACAAATTTTTGTAGCTGAAGTAATTTACGTGCTCGTTCTGGACAAGGGAGGGAACCTCCTCTGTCCAGGGATCTCAGTTGGCCCTGGATGCCAGTGGTGCCGACAGAAAGAACTGAACTCTCTAGTGGCAGAAGCAGAGCTGAGGCAGTAGAGGAAACCAGCTCATACGAGAGGTAATTCCTGCAAGGGAGGCTCTTTAAATGAAAGGACACCGATGACAATGAAGACAAGCTGGCCAAGAATAAAGTTCAGCTGGAATTCGGAAGAAAGTTTATTTTTTTGGTGCAAGAGAAGCAGGATTTCAAGACAACTTTCCAACCAGTATAGCAGAAAACAAACAAACAAACAAACAGGAAAAAAATATCAACCCAGATCCAGTGAGGTGCTTTAAGCTGGAGTTGGGTAGTTTTATGAAACAGACTCTGTGCTGACAGAAACAGCAGAGGACTTGTCTCTCTAACCCAAGAGATCTCCTCTAGGTTGACTATTTAATGCAGACCGTGAAATTTGTTGCACTGAAATGCCATCCCCTCTGTAGGTTTCAGTAGGTATAAGTGGGTTTGATGGATACCCACACTTTGCTCAGAGTGAGAATGTTCCTAAGGATATGAAATGGTCACTTAGGGCTTAAGTATTATAGTCCACCTGGAACAGTACTGATGCTACAGCAATTTACCTTAATGACTCAGGAGCATATTTCACAGCAATGCTGTATAGCTGTCCTGACCTAAAAGCCCTCTCATGGCTTAAACTCAAATTTATGCCCCTCACAGAAGACATCCAAAAGAAGAAAAGCACATCCAATAAAACCAGGAAGAAAAATAGAGGATTTAAAGCCATGAAAAGGCAAAGAAGAAAATGTGTTGAAGGAAAATTATACCAACAGTGCCAATGATTATCAAGGTCTCACAGTGGGAAGACCATTACTTTGGGGGTCAGCAGTGAAAGGCATTATCAGCCGTTATGGGGTGCCCCACGTCAGGACAGCAGTGGGACGCCCTGACTCTGTGGGTTGCAGCACCGGTCAGGCACAGTGCCCAGAACACTACAGACAGCTCAGCAAGCAGATTTCCTGTCTTTTAGAGATGACATATGGCCATGTCACTGCTGCAGGCAGATGATGTCACCAGAGGACTCTGCAAGAGCTGTTCCCAGTAGAGACAGTTATTAGGCAGTAGCTGAAAGAGGACAATGTGGTTATGTAGGCAAAGTGAGGCAGAAAGACTGGAGTCCTGTCCACACAGAGCTTTAATCAGACAATTTACAACTAAATTATAAAAGTTGTATTTGAAAACACTAGTGTGCTGCTCCTATCATGCTTAAGACTGATTCAGCTTTCTTAGTTCTTACATATAAAAGTCTGTCAGTACATCATCAATTTTTGCCTCTTCACACCTGTATCCTGTCTCCCCCCACTAAGGATATAAAGCTGTGAAAGGTAAGCACGGTTTGCTGTGTGGCACAGTTGAAGGAGGTAGCACCTGGACTGGAAGAGGTATATGGTCTCTGAGGTTTGAGAGGCACCAAACCAGTGTGCTTTTTATTCCTGGTATGTGAAAAATACCTCCTTTCTCAAGCAGCAGGGAGCAGGAAGCATCCACAGGTGAATGCAGGGCTGCTGCAGGATGTGAGGTGTTTTCTGAGAATGGCAGCATCACCACCTAAGAACTCTTTCTTACAGTGTCCCAACCCCCACTGGGGCATCCTTGGGGGTTGGGACACGCTTACCTAGTAAAACATATTTAATTACCTTCTATGGATAAACAAAGTGGATAGGCAAATCAGGAACTCACATTTCTTTCAGACAATAAAAAGCAGTGAAGATTTTAGCTCTATCAAGGAGCAAAACTTAAGTGTGTGGAAACTTCCTGGCCCCAATGTCCATGTCCCTCCAAAGGATCTGTCCTTTATTTCTGTGGTATTTATCAGCTAACCCAAGCACAAAACCTGCAAGACAATAAATCATCCCTTTTTTTTTTTCTTTCTCTACTACTATTTACCTGGGGAGACCCTAGCACAGCAGGCATTCTGTGCATTGCAATTCCCATAGAGACAGCAGGGTTCAAAGCCACTAAACATCTTACAGCAGGTTCACCCCTCCTAGGTGAAAAGTTCTGCAGTGCTTCCACCTGCAGAAGCTGCCCAAACCAAAGCACTCCGAGTGTCACCGGAGCCAGCTGCAGCAAGAATAAAGACTCATAGTTTTTCATCGTTTTCTTTGGCACATACAAAACACAGAGCAAATGTCTTTTTTGAATTACAACTTTTTATTAGATGAACATGGTTTAATACATCATGTGTACATGGCCTAGGATGCAACGTGCTCCCTCCCCTACCGAGTTACAGAACACTGACGCCGTGAAGGTGAACACCAGCTCTGCATTTGTGCCTCACAGGGATGTTACAGATGGCTGGGAGTGGAAGCTTTGCACACATGTAGGTCTACACAGGACAGGATGACGCACGTTAGGAAGAGGTGAAGAGTAGGGAAAGGGGAGTAAGCTGGATCTGCCCTGGCTGGAGGACTGCTCTCAAGAAACTTTTCTCCGTTTTCCGTCCCAAATTCCTTAGAGAGCAGGAGGGTGAAGGACAGGCCATGCTGCAGCGGGAGCCCTGTGGAAAGCGGTGCTATGTGGTTTCACACGTGGCACTGCCAGCCAAAGGCCCCTGTGAGAACCCCTGGTCAGGGTGCCGTCACAAGCCGTGGGCCATTCTGCACCGTGTCTGCCACTCCTGCTCTCTGTGCAGGGTGAACACACAGGGCTCCATCCTCCTGCAACTGTTTGTGCCAAGATCTGGTGTAATCAGTAAGTCACTAAAGACTAATGGGATTTGGCACTTTCCTGGTGATCACCCCATTTTTGCCCTCATGTGAAGTGCCACAAGGCACTGCCTAAAATTTCAGGGTCCCACATCTGAACCATGGTATTGCCCCAAATAATGGCCTGACAGGGGAAAAGGGCAGGGAGGGACAACCAGGAAATGCACTGAGAGCTTGGCAGCTACTCTTCACTTCAGTCACAGCACTTGCGCTGCTCAACGCTTGAATCAGAGACTTATTGTAAAATAAGTGTAAACATGGATTTATGGGCTTTACTGCGGGTCCACTTCCCTTGGAAAGTTTGACTCTAGACAGTCAACAAATAGGAAAAAGAAAAAAAAAGAAAGTCACCTAAGAAAAATCAGAAGATCAGAAGACTCATCAAAACCTGTTTCAGTCTTGCAAAGCATGTGCCTTTTGACTCAGGCCTCGAAATCAATTTACTGTATTATTAAAAAAATGGCAATATAGAAACTACCCCTTTCTCAGTTCAAAGTTTAAGCATATCTAAGAAGACCCTACAGAAACAGTCCTCTTTCTGGCAAGGCACTATCCAGTAGTGTGTGGCACAAACAAAACCACCTCTATCAAAGCCACTGATACAGTGAACGTGCATGTGCACGTCAGCCCACACAGCAGCTTCAGCTAGGTACAAAGATCTACAGTTTAATTCACACTGCTCTCCCTTTTAAAAAGTGGAGTAGTTAGAAGTATTAGCTAGAAATTTGGACCTTTTGGTTCTCAAGCATACCCCTATATGCAAAAATTTTGAAGATAAATTAAGAATTTGCTATTTCTTTCAATAACTATCTCTAGTTTCCCCAGACCTTTTCAGTTACCTGATAGCTACATTTCATTATTACAAAACTGTTTTAAAAAATTCCAGATCATCTTGTGTAACAAACTAGAACTCTACTTAGTTTAATTACAAAAATAAGGCTGTCGCACAACAGACCAAATTCACATTCAAATAATATCCTTATATATATATATTTCTTTCTTTTTTTTAAGCTAGCCACTTATAATTCAAAAGCACATATTCTAAGGGACTTACACTGCCAATCCACACAAGCAAACAGAATATCTTCAGAGCTAGTGTTGTCCTCCACACAGATTATGCCCACAGATGTGCTCTGAAATAAGTTAGTTGTAACAAGACTAACTCTCCACTAAAGGAGAGCCTTCTATTCTACATTTATCTAAATTCAAGAGGAGTTTTGTAAAACTAATTTCATCCCTGGAGGAACCAGCGTGGTTTTGCCTTTCACATCAGTAAGCCTGGGATTTTGCCCAGGATTACTCATGTGTATATATTTACACACTTAGGTAAATCTTTCAAATCTGGGACTTCAGGTAGTTCTAAAAGTTTACAACGCATCAAGTACATGATAAATCCAGGATGGCTTCTCTGTAATCAACTGCGCAATTATGTAAGTTTAAATCTGTATTCATTTACAAAGTTAAATATTTAACTTCCTTTTAAGAATAGTTCCTTCACCTGTTAACTTGGTGAAGTTAACAATGTACAGCTCTACTTCACGTCATATTCCCTTCTTATAGTGAGGTTCAAGTCTTGTGAAAATATGGGACTGGTTACAGGAATGTCACAGTATCATAACACAGACAACAATTCTTAAAAACGCACATTCGGGATTCCTGTAGAGAAGGTGCCATGGCTAAGATTTTGACCAGTAAATACAACCACAGACTTCAAATCTGAGTGTGCTCTTGCTCCATCTAGCCCTAGGTTTGTTCAGTCAGGTACAAAGAAGGCTAAGAGGTGATCTAATGGTAGACGACAACTATCTTGAGGGCAAGAAGAATGGTGCCAATCTCTTTCTGTGAGTGCCAGAAAACTCAGCAAAGGCCACAGCCACAAATTACACCCTAGGAGTCAAAACTAGACTTTCTTATAAAGTTTTCACTAGGAAAGCACTGTAGAAATGGTACAGGTTACCTAGAGAGTTACGAGATCTTCATCCTTGGATATTTTTAACGTTCTGCTACACAAACCTATATCTGTTCCAAGCCAGCACTATCGTTCGCCCTGATTTTGACAGTGCTGGGCCAGATGACCTCCAACTTTTGTCCCTTCCAACTAACATGTCTTGTGTGCCATGTTTACTGATGTTAACAGAACATGTGATTGCAAAGATGCTTTTCCACATAACGGTTGTCTTTCATTACCCAAAGACTGTGATGGCACTACCCTGTCATTATGAAACCACTTGAGTAAAAGATACAAAGCCCAACTTGATTCAAGATGCATAATGCAATTTGACTTCTCTCTAGAATGTATTTTGTAATGTTTGTTGGCAAGCCATGGGCCTGAGTTCTGCTATTCGCATCAGTGCAGTCTCCTTGGAATGCTTTCCACTTCCATTACTTGTCTCCTGTTCCTCAGCTGAGCTGCCATTGTGGTTTCATTCAGCAAAGCACACACCCAGTTTTTTCACTGTCTTTGAGGCACCACCACATGACCACATCTGGGGATATAACCAGGAAAACAGCTAGGCAAGTTAGGCGTGCTCTTGGACCATGGTAGAGGGTTAACCACCCATGAGACTGAGCCCTGACTCTCAAAGTATCCCCCTGACTCTCATGTGGCTTGTGGTGGAGCTGTGTGTTATCAGAGGTAAACTGAAGGTTTTGGCAAAATTTCAAGACAGTCCAACTACAAAGCTCCAACTGTGGGTGTTAAGACTTTCTCAGTTAAGAGATAACTTCACATTATCATTAGCTATGAGACCCCTTTAGTTCTTCTGAACTCCCCAGTGTTTCCAGCAAGTGTTTTCCTGCACATTTCACCTGCTTTTGGAAGAGGAAATGTCAAAATATTTCACTTTGGCACCTCCCTCATGAAAGGAACTGATTTTAAACAGTCAGTTGCAATGCGCATCATTAGATAAATCAAGTTTTCATTAATTATATTAGTAGCCCATGTCTCTTAAAATAACCATGATCTGGAATAAACATCACAATAAATAAATGTAGAGCAAAAATACAGCAGCTATTTGCTTAGACTGAGATCTCACGATTCATGATTTTTATCCTCTGGGTCATAGCCAACACAGACAGCCTAATAACCACCAGCACCTTTAACTATCATGATGAGCTAATTTGGGAAGAATTAAAAACAGTAAGAAATCTGACTACATAAGTATATCCATGGATGACACAAGCCCTACACTTCCACTCCTTACTCTCAAACATACGTGTCTGTTAGAATATCAGGGCCAGTTGCAAGAGCAATCCAAAGACAAAAGTGAAACATCAACAGTGAGTATTATTAAAAAGGAAGATGAGTAGCCCGGTCTGTTTTGTATGTGTGTCATTATCTCCATGCTATTGGAGAGCACCATCTCATGGCAAGCAGACTACTACTAAAGATGCATGTTTGCTCTATCACAGTGATCCATTAGGGAAGCTGTTATGTGCTGAAGAACAGGGTCATCCATTCAGAAATGTGCTTGTTGACACTTCACATGGGCTTTCTAGGGTTCTGATGCCTACTGAAAAGACAAAAAAAAAATATTGATTATTATTAAGATAATGTTATGAATACATTCCCATCTCCTGTGCCCATGTCCTATGCCTATAAGATGTTCCTAAACTTGGTCCACATAGCAGCTGAGGATGCATCCTCTGCAGTGCTACCAGACTGAAGTGGATAGTTTACAGAGACACTCCTCAAGGCCTACAACAGGATATTTTCTAGGAATGGAGCTGTATAGAAGGTGGTATTTCAGATTGTAGTAGAACATAATCTTTTTTCTAGGACTAGTTCTCCAAGCTACAAAATGAGGCAGGCTGCCAAAATAACCTGCTTTTGCAGTTCTCTGCCGAGGTTCCTTCCCACTTCTGTCCCTCATGGGGTCCATAAGTAAATTAATTCCTGGTAGAAGCAGAGCTCTATAGATACACAAGAGCTACCATCCAGGCCTGAGACAGTACTACTGCCAAACACACCTATATCTGCAGTATCCAAGGGAAGAAAAATCCTCCCCTATGTGTCTAATCTACGGCCAGAAGGTGCACCATAAAGTCTCTTTGAACGAGTGTCCAGGCTTCCATATGGTAATAAAATTTCCTCTGTTATACTGATATCAATAGAAAGATGTTACCTGGCTTTGTGTTCTGACCTGTATATATCTATTTGCTAAAACTGAATTCTTATCCAAAAAGTTGATATAATTCCTGACTGTTCTAGCGCTTCAGCATTACAAAACAAACAAAAAAAAAAATTAAAAAATCAATGCTTAATGAATAAATGCTGAGCCATTATGCCAGGCTACAGATATGCCAGTGCTTAAGATCCTAGTTCTGCCTCCTGTATAATTCATCCAGTTGCTTCCATTTTAGATTGATAATGTGAAGGAGAATATGTTCTTTAAATTTATCTGCTGTCTCAAATCAACTCCCAATGCTTGGTTTCATTTAAAATGCTTTGCTTTTCCTGACAACCATTTCAATCACCTCATTAGGATTAAGCTGATATGGGCAAGGTATAGATCAGGGCAGTGGTGCATCTGAACACACAGGACTCTTTCTGTTCAAAGAAAATTCATTCTCCCTATTTCAAGAATTCTATGAAAAGTCTGCAATATGACACTGACCTTTGATGCCAAAGTAGGTTTCAGTCCAAGAAAGGAGAATACAGTGTTGCTCTCCTTTGATTCAAAAAAGCCATCGTAATCCTAGAGAATTAGAAGCAAAAGAAGTTGAGTCAACATTTGTATTTATGTTTTCCTGACTGATATTACCACACCGTGTATTAGACCAAAGGCTGACACATAATAATGCTCAGGAAAATACTAATACTTACCCATATTGTCCTCTGCAAACCTAAAACCTACTCTAAATTGCAACAGTATCACCAACTACAGTGGCAAAGAAAAACACATATTCTCTAACTGCAATACCTCTCACTAATTTATTTGATAGGAAAGTATAAACACAGACTTGCATGAAAGGAAATCTATTGTGGGTATATTTTAAAGGTATTTAAGTGCCTGACAATGCAAATAAGTTTCTGACCAGGTTTTCAATTTGTGTTTTAGCAATCAAAATACTCCCTAACATGGAAACCCCCAAGAAGTCCTAAGGCAGCTGAACTCCTTATTTCTTCTGTCGTGGAACAGAGACTTCATCATCTTTGTATCCCTTGAAATCAGCAATCATATCTCAGCCTTGGCCTATCACATACTTCAATATAAAATAAATAAACTTATTGTATATAAAGACAAAACCCAAGCTTAACTATCATGATTAAGTTCTTTTTAGATTTCAGCTGCCTAAGATCAGGTTCTGATCTCGAAGTGTTAACTACTACTTTTACTGATTTGATTATTGCATTGGATAACTGCTACTCATCTATCATCAAATGAATTAACAGTTCACATTCATATTCAGTTTTCAAGGCAAAAAACCAGAGAAAATCAGAGCACAGTTTAGTGAGTGGATCTGGCATATGGCAAGAAGTTTCATGTGCTCTTTGTGGTTTGGCAAAGATTTCTTCTATGACCACTAGTAAACAAGAAAGCATGCAGTTCAGACTCTTCCTCCACCACATAACTGCAAAATGGAAACATCAATCCTTACTTAACCACTTCTGACATGTAAAATATTCTGTAAATGTCAGAAAAATTCAAATATGTGCTCATCACTGCATAGCAATTATCTCTAAATATCCAAGATTAGCAGTTACGCTAAACTTGAGAGCATTCAACAAGAGAAATCCCTTTAAATATTGACTGTGCACATACATGCTTTCAACACAGAATAATAACAGGCAGCCTCAGCATCTCCACATGCTTCCTACCTGTCACTCCCAATGTGCCTGACCCCCAAAAGTTAGCACTTCTTTGGCTCCTAGCCTCTAATCTCATTACTTTTTGGGAGCTCATCTCTCAGTGTTAGTTTGTCCTGGTTTTGGCTGGGACACACTTTCAGGTGCTTTCTCTGAAACTGGACCTCAGTTTTCCACCAGCAGCAGCTGCTTTGCCTGCTCGTCTCCTTCCTGTATTCTCTTGAACATCTAACCACCCCACAATTACAGAGGGACCATGGAAGATAAACAGAAGCTCTAATTGAAAAGAAGAAATCTTCTTCTGACCTGGTTATTCTTGGAAAGCTCTCTTTTTTTCTCTTCATCAATGTAAAATAAATGACTGTTTGGATAGAAAATACATAGTCACCATAGCAAAAATAATGTACTTCCCACGAGATCCATAATCACCTTGCACATGTGCAGAATCTCTCAAAAAAACATTTATGGTGTACTAGATAAAGATGCTTTACCAGTATTTCGATAATGATATATTGCTATATCAGTGTGAACACAACTGTCCTAGCTAAGTGATACTTTACAGTTGCATAATTATTCAAACAGCCTCAGCCCCCCCCACCCCGAAAACCATAACCCATTGCTGCACAAAGGCAGGTTCCAAGCCCAACCCTCTATACTAAAAGCATGAGCCCTGAAAGACAGAGAGGCCTGCCGGAGTGTATAATGGTCATCAGGTCTTGGTTACAGTAGCTGACATAAATAGAAAGCAGATAAACATTCTTAAGATTTTTTTTGTTGTTTCCTTCTTAAAACACAGCATATGCTAATTTCTGAATTAACATAAATTTACAGTTAATAGCCTGAAAGCAAATCCAAATAAAATCAGACGAATCAACTAAGCCATGGTGTAAGCTGAAAGAGTACTGAAAAGAATCCCAACAGTGCCATGGATTAAAAAGGGACACCAGAGTCACTGAATTCCTAGAGGAGTAATAAATAACACTCAAGCTTGACAAAAGGATGTTTGATTACGTCCTTGACCTCTACGAACGAGACTTCAAAAATTGAATGGACACTGTTAAACTTGAGAAAAGGTCTGTTTTGACTTTTCTAAGAGCAGCTGAAAAGCCACAAGAGACACAAGCTACACAAGCAACCACATGTGAAGACAGCGCATGATCTAACCAAGAAATAACCTTCATTTTCTCCTTCATATAGATGAACCTTTGGGTTCGTCTATAAGTGAGTCACACCATCCCTGGAGCTGAAGATAAAAGGAGCAGCGGATGAGTACAACCCACAACAGGGAGATGAACATGGGCACTGCTCCTTTAATATCAGGGTATGTTTAAATTGCCTGAAGATGCTCATTACAGCCCTGTAAACTACCAGCAACCTGCGGGCAGGCAACTGTTGCAAGTATTTCTGCAGCAGCATGGCTCAAGGTAGGTATCTTTTTCCGTCCCTGCCAGGAGCATCCATGCCTCCTAAGCACAGAGGCAGTTTTCATAAACCCCCAGACACTTGTTTGTCTCAACAGTCTGTCCAAGGAAGGTTCTGTGTTTGTTCAGGTGAGTCATCATCTCTTATCACCATTTGCAAGTTCTGGGGTTCTTCTGAAGTGTCTTAATCCCAGTACTTCAATTAGCTCTAAAAGCATCACTACTCTAAGACCATGTTTTTTTCAATCTTTGTTAATAGACTGGTAAAAAACCAGGGTAGGGAAGAACTCAACAGACTGAAAATAATGTCATAAGAAATAAGGCTGCATTGCTGGCTCTGACAATGACTTTGAGACTCAGTTAATCCACTAATGTCTGTTTACACTTACCTCTGTAATATAATTTAATACTTAATAATAAAAAGGTGTCTTCAAGCATCAGTCTTAATTTTTACTTTCAGATTTATCAAGTCCTAATTTAGCATGTTTTGTCCACATTTTTACTGATTATCAGACCTGGATTCACTTACTGAAAAAAATGTGAAGGTTAAACAATGAGCTAAACTGAGTAAGTTTATGTATGAAAGGGCAAAAACCCCAGTGGATTAATTTTGAAAGGACCAGGATATTTAATAACCATAAGAGATTATCCACCAGAAGTAATCTCTCCAATGTTTTGAAATATCTGCACTGCAAAACCTATTAAAATGTTATTGACACTTACTTTCATGGGGGAAGGGGGAGAAGAAGCTCATGCTTTTAGCTAAAGTATCAGTAAAATTTTAAACAGGACAACTTTCCTACTAGTCTCTGCAACTAAAACAATTTCAAAATATTCAAATTGAAAAAAAAATTACAAAAATGCATAAATATTCTGATTTTAAGATATCGCTTTAGCATAGTAGTTTCTTAAGAGATTATTGAGAAATATGATCCGAGGGACTCAACAGTTGTTTGACTTTGGCATGCGGTAGCAGTGGGCATCCCTGACTTTTCCAGTAACACAGATAACAGATGTTCCAAAAAGGCCCTGCCTTTGATCTCACCTTTGTAAGAAGAGGAAGTCTGTGCAGATTTGGGCCACACGCAATCCATGGGTGAGGACATGAAAATTCTTATCTCACATAAAGAACATCCTACTGCTACCAGCAGTAGATGCAGAGGCTGAAGAAGCCAAATGGTGCCAAGCTCAGTGGAAGCTGGGAATTTCTTACATGGGCAAGAGCCCAACTCGCTGGTGAGCCAATGGGTTCCCTTTGGAAAAATTCTGTGGGACATTCTGCCTCCCACAGAAGGACACCACTATTCACTGGTTTTGGCCAGGCACTTGTTCCATCCTTCTGCATCAGCAGCAAGTTACTACAATCCCTTTGTCACTGTCCCAGGCAGCTCTACCAAGGCAGCAGGTGCTGTGGCTTTGCTGGAATCAGTGGAGCAGTGCTGTCTCACCCCTGTGCAAGGAAGCAGCTCCCACTGACACCCTGGAGGCATTCAGAAAGCAGCTGTTAGTACAGCAAACTGCTACCCACTGCCCCACTTCAAAGGCAACTATGTGTACAATTATAATTTTGACTGCAACATTTTCAATTGTGATATTGGCGCTTTCCAGAGCTGCTAATTACACTTTATTAATGTGTAAAATTCTGGCAACATCAATAGCTGATTAAAACTAACTAAAAACTGACTACTAAAGCTAATGGGACATGGAGACAGTGGACATGAATCATCAGTGACGCAAAGATGCTCAATCCCTCTGGAAAAGTTGAAAAGCCAAAAATACAGATGATAAATCCCACAGCTGAGGGTATGAAAGCTTATCGAGAAAGACAAAAGCCAGTTAGGAGGAAAAAATATATCTCAGAATGGTTTGAGGCGATAAAGAAGTGACAGGAGCATAAAGATGGTGAGTAAAAAGCTATTTCAAGGCAGAAAAGGCTGCTTAACAAGATAACAATTATCTGACTGCTTTAGGCCTGGCTCCTTACCCTTAAAATCAATGGCAGCTTGATCACCCACCAAGTAACCTGAGCAAGGTACAGACTCTGTTTTAACATCAGAGCAGTTCCAGCATTAAACATGCTCTACCGAGCTACTGGGGAATGGATTAGCTGACCTAATAAGCTCTTGCTTTGTTGAAAATAAACTGAAGCTACTGCAGGTGAGCTTCTCACCTACAGACATGCAAAATCTTTCTAGCCTTGCACTGCCTAAAGCTCTTCTTTGCTTTGTCAGCTTCTGCTGAGAGACTCTAAACCGGGATAGAGAGACAGGCAAAGGTGTTTGGGATCAAAGTTACCCCAGGGGGCAATGGGAGGAAGGCTGGGAAGTTCACTGTGGTGGTAAGATTGTTGGTACTAGATGTAGAGCTCAATGGACATATGGAGCACATTTCCACAGCACACAAAAGATGCTAAATGTTTACATGGCTTCACCAGAAGGCTCAAGTTCATGAAAGAGTAATTAAGTAA